CACGTATCCGCCCTGAATCCAGCTCAGGCAGTACATTGTTCTCCACGTGGATCTCACCCAGAGACGAACGCTTGGCGCTATATCGCCACTTGGAAGCGTCCTTCCACCACGACGTATCAGTCCGGCGTTTACTCCTTCCTGGAGAATTTCATCGACACTAGAGGTTATGTTGGTCGCCATGTGCAATACGGCAACCAGTGGGCACGTAACACGAACGGTGCCTGGTCTGAGATTACCACTGGTCGCTTCACAGGTGATGCTACTGCGAACAATGCGCAGCGCATGGATTATGCCGGTGGCTTGGAGAACGGACATTTCTACCTCCGCAATTGCGGCTTCTTCTCAGATTTTGTGCCGCTCAACCGGGACTTCACCCGCCTGGCCGCTGGCACTCAGCCAACAGTCGATGTGAACACATTACCAACCCAGTGAAGCAAAACAATGGTTGTATTTCACATGATTTCTGTTAATCTTACCTCTATCCTGATTAATCCTGATCTCTCAGGCAAATTGTTCAATTTTAAATGTTCTCGCATGTAGTTGTACCAATGTGCCATCAAGCTTTCCTTTTCAATGTATCCGCTGTTTTTTCTTGTACTCACTTTGTTTCAGGCGTTTTTTGTTTCGAAATTTTTGCTTGAACTATATCTGCTACTTCTCTAAAGTCTACAGATGCTTTTATACCTCTCCATTGGCCCAATAGCCTTCTCTTTCTCTATTGTACATGAGCACTGATTCTGCTGCCCAACAGTCATTCCCACCATTCTCATGATATGCATTTACAAACCTGTTGTACAATCATTAGCCAGGGACAAATAAATAGTATGAATGTGTTCTAAAATTGAAAATTAAAGACAACTTCCATGTGTTCATGTGTAGTGAACGTAGATTCATAGATGATATCATAAAATACAAGTGCATTTTACTGGTGAATGACATTGATGACATGGGCGAGACTTTGAAACAAGTGGTGCAAAGGTTGATGGACACCACCTCCATTGTTTTCTGTTTATTAGCAGAAAGCAAACTGGAGATTGTTGTGATTCATAACAAGAGCAACAAACCAAGAGCATATTTTTGGTGACTGAATCAAATTGAGCGATACTTGTGCTGTGAAGAGATCTAATGGTAATCACTCAGAAGGAGAGAAGAGCATACTATCACATCTGATGAAAACACCCTCTACTATACAATGGGATGGTTTTGATACAGTGTGATGCATGATGATAGCCAGCTCAGCAAAATCATGATTGATCTGTTCAAAGCCATTTCTGTTTAGCAATTGCAATTCACACAAACACCTATGTGAGTGAAGACTTGATTTTTTTTGGTTGGAGCAGGCAAAACTCTGAAAACATCAAAGATTTTTGCAACACACATACTAACAGAAATGGCTTTACCAGAAAATAATCCAAGATAAGAGGTAGAGTGCCTCAATTGCCTGATTCAAGAACTGATAACTTGCCTATCAATTGGCATTTTTCTTTTATATCACTCAATCATTCAAAGCATTGAGGAAGAAATATACTCAACTCATTAACAACTAATGTGCCAGCCGTAATTTTTGCACAATCAATTTACTCTCGAAAACAATGCAAACTACAAATTTCTCAGTTATTATGCTGCAACTAACATTTGCATTCATTTTTTTGCTGTTTTTAATTGCATTGTTCTGGCAATGCAAAGCAAGTAGCAATGTAGAACTTGCAAGTGCACAGGTTGTGATTTGCAGCAATTTTTAGAATTTACTTTGATATATTGAAAGTCATTCCACCCCTCTAGGAGTTTCTAATAAAGATGATGAAGACTTCCCGTCCAATCTATTTTCATGGTATGATGACTGGACTGCGCGAGTGAAAACTGGCAGAAGTATGCAGGCACGATCTAATATACACAGTGTTAGTTTGAGTGCAAAAGAGAAAGAGCACACTGTATAGCTATGTACCTAATACATATGGTGTTAGCTAGACAGAGGTTGGTAAGCATACTACATAATGCAAGGGCAACGAAGGGAGACTTACTCTGAGTGCAAAAGAGAAAGAGCACGCAGAGTGGGAATGCAGGGAGGAGTCCTTATATACGTGAAAGGATCAAAATTAAAAGTCTGCCAGAATGGGGAAGCCTGCCATAAAGAGGTCTGTGCATGGGAGCACTACATATGATTGTCCAATCACTATCTACGTATTAGTAGCACCTAATCTAGGATGTCCACCTTAAGTCCATGCCAGGTGGAACACCAAGCCAGAGCCACTAGGCACTTCAACACAATCAACAGGTTGATTTTGATTTCCAATCAGCCAGCTAACCAGGCTCAACTTGAAGTTGCTGCCAATCCATTGTGCAACCTGTATTACAAACTCTCTGTACTGAAGCATTGTGTTGCTTTTTCATTGTATCTTAACTGGCAAATGCAAAGGAGAGCAATCTATATAATCTCCAAATGAAAGCAAACATTGTGATCTTTGCAACAGCCAGACTGTCTGGCTCTGGAATCTGACATTCAACTTGTGCATATGGCAGCCATCAAAAATATTCTACCTACTGAGGCATGCATGCAGAGAATTCAGAAACTTTCTGAACTCCTGTTGCAAGAGGTCAAGTGACTATCTGAGAAAGAAAAAGGATTCTGTTCACTATCCAAAATATCTGCTTTGAAGCTCAAGAACATATCATGCTCTTTGGAAATGTCAACAGTCAACACTCACAATATTACCTGCCAAACCCTGTGTCAAAATGGTTAACATTATCAAATGGATCTTAAGGCTTGTGCTACTGTGAATAGTAATGTGCGGGCTGGGCCTCAAAATCCACAAGCCTGCCAAACCCAGCCCAAAAAGTCTGACCTGAGCCAAGCCTGGCTCAAGGCTGGGCTCAAAGTATAGTCAAGCCTAAGCCTGGTCCAGAAGCCCAGGCTTAGGTGCACCAGCTCTGTTACTGTTCTCTGACTTCATAATAAGGTGAGAGAGATTTAATATGTATATACCAAACATAATATGTATATACCAAACATAATATGAATATTCTAGACTCAATGGTTCCTGCCAAGCACAATTGTGCATTACCATTTGGTGTCTGCCATAGGTGTGCGCTCATGGGCTTCATTGTGACTCAACTTATTCTGCAAGCGTATGTCTTCTGGAGGCTGAATTCAGTGAGTACATGCAGTAGTAATCTACTACATCCAAATATACTCCCCTTTTATAGCACTAGAATACTCATTGTATCATGAGCAAGCCTGTGGCTTGGGCCAGGCTCAGAGATCAGCTCAACGTTGCCACAAGTCCAAGCCCGAACTTGGAGCCCAAGCCGGGCCTGCACATCACTAACTGTGAAAAGAGAGGAGCAGACCAATAAGATCATTGTGCTAGAAGATATTCATGGTAAAATTGTTAACAATTATCACATATAACTATTTGAAAGACATACAGATCAAATTAATGTTTGTGCCATTTGGAATTTTTGCTTTTCAATGACAACCAGCTAATGCAAACCAGATATATCGGAACCTGGAACATTTCAATGTCATTGACATCAGCAAAACCGCCCGGGCCCTGAAACACCCTGATGAAGGTTTGTCAGGGCACTCAGGGCATCTAGAGTCAGCTCACGCGATCGTGCCCCTCAGGTACCAGCCCGTGCATCTTCTCAGTGCCATCAGATCAACCCTGCCAGTCTACTACACTGGCAGCATCATACTTTTTGGTCCACCAGCTGGCCTTTCCTCTATCATCTCTCGAAGCATGTCGTTTCAGCACGAGGCAGTGACAGAATGGATCTTCGCAGCACGGCATGGCCTTGGTTAGATGCGAGCAATGAGCTAACAGGGGTTGTGGTTATCGACTCTATCATTCAGGCTCACTCTTTTCTTAGGATGTGCAGAAAGGATTATTATAGCCATGGACACATTCTGATATAATTTACTGATTTATTCTATAATTTATTTTGCTTCGGGCCAGGCTCGAACCTCGAGACCTTGACGTCTGAGCGGCTGAGAGCCCTGAGAGGTCTGACGAGTTTCGTCAAGGCCCTCAGCGCTTCCAGTATCGGACCGTTTTGCTGATGGACTCTCAGACTAAGAGATGGACTGCAAACCCATTCACTTCGGTTGTACTGGTCAGAGATCTTTTCGACAGAGGAAAAGACAGTGCTGAAGTTATCTTTGAGATCCAACGACTTCAGGTCGAGTCGGATGGTCAATTAATGTAAACAATGAGATTCGCTCGGCGCTTTAGCTCCGACTTCCCCTGGCAACCGAGGA